CTCGCGAACATCACATGCAGCAGGCTCAGTTTACAGAAGGATGCTTCACGTTAGCGTGTGCGGATCGATTCTGAAGTTGCACAATAAATTATCTGCCCGGCTCGTTTCAACCAGCTGCTTCCTGCCTACTCTGGTGCAGAAATTCACCACTGGAACGTAAAGTTAGAGAAGAGAAACAAACTCAAGTATCGATACGATCCGACAGTGGTGTACATGTGTCAAACTAAAGGTGTGTGAGCCAAATGTGGCCTGCCACAGCCTTTTAAGTGGCCCATGAGAGCTTCAAAAATGTATTAATGTCTTAAAATAAGCTGCTTTAAAACTAGAGTTAAATAAAATGCATTTCCCATAACGCATGTCGATTATTTTATCTGTGAAATGATGGCATCCCACCATTAAGTAGAGGAGCACAAATTCCACATATTCGCTGTGTAAAATCNACTTTTACTAAGTAATTTTTTTGGTAAGATACTTGTACTTGTACTCCAGTATCACTTTGTGATACTTMATACAACAGTGTTGTGYGATCAAAGAGCTCCTGGGCTGAAATGGAGCTCAGGACGCTGCTGCAGGGTGAAACTCACACAAAGCAGAGAACAGGTCCTGTGTCCAAACTCAAAGGACAAATCATTGACAGAGAAACTGCAGATTTTATCTCGTCTCCAGCGCGGCTCATGTTTACTCGTGCAGGCAGGGCGCACAGACGGGCCGCTGCCCTCAGAGTGGGTCCTCAGAGACATCTCTCTGACAGCTCTGAGCCTCAGTAACAGATGTCTCTGAAGCTCTCTGTCCACCAGCCCACATCACTCTGTCACCATCTCACCCTTCAGGCTACCAGACACAACAGATCCGTGCCACGAGCTGGGACAAAAAMCCCCGACTCACCCTTTGGGATCCAGCAGGTCCCGGACCTTCTCATTGTAGATCTCCATGTAGGAGACCTCCACCTTGAAGGTGTGAGTCTCGTTCTCCTCCCTGTGGACCCTCTCAAACAGCGAGCAGCACAGCCGGGGGATTAAGCCGGGCTGCTCTCCGTTTCCCATCATGGAAAAGGACTTCCCTGAACCTGGAGGGACACCAGAGTCAAACATGAGCTGAACAACTTCTTGTGCCAGCAGGAACTGAATTTGATTGAATTCTTTTACTGTGGATTGCATCAACTCTGTTACATACAGAAGGAAGCTTCACTGACGTGAAACAATACAAAGAGTTGTATGTTGTCATGATATTTGTTACATTTTATAAAGCAGAGAGCAGAGAACGCCTCGCCTCTCTGGTTAAACCCACATTTATTTACGTTAAAAGTTAGGAAAAGCTAACATCTTATGTTCTTCATTTTCTTAAAATCTATCTTGCCAACTAAGTTAATTGCCTCAAATGTCTGGTTTTAAACATCTAAGCTGACGTTTGTGTTCTTTTATGTGCTTATGGTTGACAATTAACATGCTCGAAGCGCTTGTTATTGTCGGTCCTAATACTTTTATAGGAAATTGATTGCTCAAAATTAAGTGTACTTTAGCGATTTTGTCTGATTTGTAAAATAAACGATCGCATTTATTTATGGATCAAATCAAAATTCACTGACTGAGAGTCCCTTTTGTGTGTCCATTCACTTTGCACTGGAGGAATATTTTACCGAAAATAAAAGAGATCCTTGCTAAAATATATTCCTTATAACAGTCTTACAAATTACGTCTATTATTAAAAAAAAAAAACAACAACACACACAAACTACCAAAAATTGGTACTGTTGAGTACCGATACCCAGGTACTGGATATTGATACCGAATCAATTCAAATGTCAAAGGTACCCATCCCAAACAAAACATTTACATCTTTTACTTGTACTTTCAGTTTGGCTGAAACGGACCAGAAACCCCCGGGTCTCTTCTCATTTTGTCATCATTCAGGTCCCGCTGCACCCGGACCTGTTTGGTGTGTTTGTGTCACAGTGAAGTCCTTCTGATGACGTGTTTTTATATTTTTGTCTAAAAGCTGTTTTCCCGGGAYGATTTCCGAACTGCAAACGGCCCGCGTGGGTAAGACGTTCAGGGCGGACGAGTTAATTGTGTCCCCTCCACCCACTTCCATGAGGAAATTCTCAACCTATGAGATACAACAATGTGTTCTGCCTTTACAACTTCTATTTGTGGTGTTCAGACAGCTGTAAAATCTATCTTAAGCACTGGTTTAACTATTTATCACAAAGGTGGTCAAAAAAAAAACATTATTAGGAGCAGACTTTATATGAACTCTTTGTTACCCGTCTGTCCGTAGGCGAATATGCAGGCATTATAACCCTGGAATGCATTTTCAAGGATCCCCTCTCCGAGGCACTTGAACACCACCTCTTGACCTTTCAGAGAAAGAGTCCATGGAAACAAGAGCAAACAGAGGGAAAAACACAGTTAGGTATATATTGTCATTAATGCAAAACTGGTTCAGAGAATTCTATTAAAGTCTTAATCAATTCAGATTTTTTTGCTCAGATCTGATT